AAACAGTAGCGGGGAAAGGACACCACCCTGAGGAACCCCCTGTTTTAATTTTCGCTGCTTACTCGTTTTGTCTCTGAACATTACCGACGAATGTCGACCACTTAGATAATTTGCCGTCCACCGTTTGAGCCTCTGTGGGAGAGAGGAGGCCTCTATATCTTCTAGTAGCGTGGAATGGCAGACGGTGTCAAACGCCTTTGACAAGTCCAACGCTACTAGAATCGTTCTCTCACAGGGACGGTTACGGTTAAGGCCACGAGTTATCTGAGTGTTTATGGCGTTAAGTGCTGTTGTTGTGCTGTGCACTTTACGGAAACCATGCTGATGCTTCGCTGGGGTCAGGTGATTTGTGAAATACGGGAGTAGCAAGGCCTCGAGTGTCTTCGCTACCGGGGAAAGGAGCGTAATCGGACGATACGAATCTCCTTTGTTTGCAGGTTTCCCCGGTTTGAGCAGTGGGACCACTCTCCCCATCTTCCAGATGTCTGGGATGATGAGAGTGGCCATTGACAAATTGAGGACCTCCGTTAGGTACGCTACCCCCGCAGGACCCAAATTTTTCAGCATCAGCATGCATATACCGTCGGGACCCATGGCTTTGGAGGCTTTCGCCTTCCCGATGGCCACCTGAACTTCACCGCAAGTGAAAGCAAGGGGGGCACAATTTGTTGGCAGTTTGTGCAGCCTTCTGGTCACTCGACGCTTGGCTTTGTCCACCGGAGGATGCAGTATGAACTGCCGGCTAAAATAGCTCGTGCATCGCTCCGGGTCCGACGAAGCATGGTCGCCGAAGGAAATTTCGACTCTGTCGTCGTGCTTCGTCGGATTAGACAATGACCTCACGGTTGACCAAAGCTTGCTCACACCAGAGGTGAAGTTGCAAGTCTTCAGATGCTCCGCCCACTTCTTCCGCTTATGTACGTTTACAAGTTGCCGAATCTCCGCGTTGAGATCCCTGATACGGGGATCTCCGGGATCGGCCTGACGAAGGCTATCACGCTCAACAGCTGCTTCGGCAGGGAAGTTTGGACGTGGGTCCGATATGCACCCTGCCGGTATGAAGCGGGCTGCAGCAGCAGTGATAGCCCTGCGGAACTTACGTTCACCGAGGTGGACGTCGGTTGGTGTGGGGAGCGATGTGAAGGTGTTTTCAGTAAACTCCGCGTAACCTTTCCAGTCAGCTTTAGAAAAGTTGACATAGGTCCGGTGTTTGGCGGAGGCAAAGTCGGTTGGTTTATCAATCGAGATGACTATGGGTAGATGGTCTGATGCTAGAGTCAGCATAGGTCGCCACGTTATGCTGTTTATCAGACCAGCGCTGACTATTGTGATGTCTGGCGAGCTACTGCAGTTACCCATAATCCTGGTGGGTGCGTCGTCGTTCATTGTGCAGAATGTCGAATCGTCTATCTGCTCAGCCAAGTCTGTTCCCCTACGATCGTTTGACAGGCTTGAGTGCCAAAGATCGTGGTGCGCATTAAAGTCACCTACTACCATACGGTTTTCACCTCTGAGGAGCGCACCTATATCAGGGTGATATCCTGCCGGGCAGCAGGTGACAGGGGGTATGTATATATTAAATATTTCGAGCTCGACATCGCCTGACCGGATAGCGATGCCCTGACATTCTAGGGTGGTATCCCTGCGGTCGATGTCTGCTTCGATAAGACGATACTGCACGGTGTGGTGCGTGATGAACGCTAAGCCACCACCATTATCTCGCTCGCGATCTCGACGGTGCACGTTGTACCCGGCACAATTCAACAAAGTTGAATTGCTGTGCAACTTCGTCTCTTGGACCGCAGCTATTAATATACCATGCCGACACATAAAGGCGGTTATCTCCTCAATCTTGCTCTGTAGCCCGTTACAGTTGAATTGGAGGAGCTTCATGTGGTTCGGGAGACGTGTTGTGATGTGGGGTGTGAGTGAGGTGTATGTTCTTGCCGCCGTTGGCTGTGTGTGCTGCTGGGGTAATTGCCTCCCTGTGGTGGTATTGGGGGGCGTCGCAATTGATGCCAGCGACCGGGCAGCGCAACACGGGCCCTCGAAGTTCCCCGTCCAATCTCGCGTGGTGCGCAGACCTGAACATGCCCTAAAGTGGCACCAGCCAAGGCAGGTGTTGCACTTGACTGATGTCACATTACGGAATATTCTGGTCTGACATACCGTGCAGATTGTAGGGGGAACCAAGAGTTGTTGGCGGCGGCGTGTGGGTGGTGGTGCGGTTGTGTGTGTTATGTGGTCTGTGGTGGCTGTGGTATGTTGTTGTGTTGTGGCGACTGTGTGTGGTTGCTGTGTGAGTGTGTGGGGCTGCACGGGCGGACTATAGGTTGCCGTGGAGGCTGCTCTATTTGAGCAACAGGGGGCCACGTACGACGTGGTCCACTGTCTGTGTGTCCGTAGTCCCGAGCAGACCCTGAGGTGACTCCACCCCTCGCAGGCATTACACTTGACTGAGGTGGAGTTGTGGTGTAAACGTCTTCGGCATACACAGCAGGTGTATATTTCTGGCCCAGGGTTTGACTCGATGCCAGCCCTGAGTAGGAGAATGCGTAGTGAATGTTGCCCTATGGACGGACAACTTCTGAGATACTTCGCCGACCTAAACGGGGTTAGATCGCCGAAACAACAGCCCTTGGTCGGGTGAAACCCGAGTCATTCCGGTACGTAGAACCGGCTGTCGTGGGAATGTCCTTCACAGCGGTGTACTTTTCAGAAAAAAACCACAAAAGGCGCCACTGAAATTCAAATGGATATTATGAATAGCAACTATAGCTAAGTGTTATAAAGAGGAAGATAATAGAACTTTGAAATTCCAGTTTCCAGCTTTCAGTTTCCAGTTTCCATCTGTAATACCATTTCAGCCACTGACAACGCAACTGAAGTTCGTTAGCCATTCATCATAGACCCACCAATTTACGTTGTTTGCAAAAAAGTTTTAGTGCGTTTTCGTTTTCGTACTCGTATATTTATGTATAATACTTAAAAATTTGACAGTGATGCTCTTTTCTAATTATAATCATTATTATTATTAATAAAGGAAAAGGAGAGAAAGATCACTCCTTTACCGAAAAAGGAGCACTAATATGACCTTCGGCTCTCCTTTCTAATTTATTATTTTTTTTTAACATATGTTTTAAACGTTTGCGTTCATTATTCGACACATAAAACAATATTTTACACACGATTTGCGCAACACTCAAACGCAAGCAATCCTCTTACAGTTGAAATATATAAATATATTTTATTTTTAAACATACATATAAATACATGCATTCATCAATATATCTAATTCATTATATTCATAAATTTAGGGCGTCGGTTTTTATGCATATCTAAAATCGTATTTACATCATTTACTACAATACTTTTTACAATATATCTGTACGAATACTCGGTTTCTAGTAGTATATTAAATTTTTTGTTTAGTTTTTAAGCGTATAATATTATCGTTGAATATTCACATAAAACTAAGCAAATTACAATAATTATTTTACAGTCAAAAATATATGTACTACATAAATATTCAATAAATTGCACATTGCATTTTTAACATAATTTGTTTTACGGAATACGTCGTTGTTTTCACTAAGAAAAAGTTAGCGTCTTTATTTCTACAGCAATGGTATTTGCAAGTAAAATAAAGGAAAAAATAATGTATTTTCGAGCGATAGCTGTAAAAATGATAATTTCACACTTTTTGTGGGCTACTCTAAGGTTTTAAACATAATATTTTCTACTTTTCTGTGTTTTTCATTTATATCTAACTAAATATATAATAGCTAAAAATTGTATGCCTCTTCGTCCATGAGTCTATGAGTAGAACGTTAATAAAATAATTTAAAACAAATTTACTTAATTACTATTGCCGTTTTTTATGCAGTTCTACAGTTTCTTTACGTAAATGCTGCAAAGACAAAATAATTAATATTGAGAAAAAAATTTAATCCCGCCTTCCAAAACTCACATGAAACACATCTTGTATTTTGTCGGTTATCAATTTCCTAGCCTCCGACTCAGGCACTTTGCGATCTTTGAGATCCTGTATAAAATCATGCAAGTCTATGGGTTGGCCAATATTCAGTGTGACCTTTTTGCCCCATTTCAACATGTAAGGCTCAGTGTTGGGCAACACCTCATCCATGCCTTCATGCCACATAGGTATAATAATTGGAATTTGTGGCGATTCGTATATGATACGACCCACACCCCACTTCAGACGCATTTCCTCTTTGGTCATGTTAACTTTGCCTTCCGGAAAGACATGCACCCAATGCCCGAGCGCGCACTTTTGTATACACAAATCAACTGCATCCTGATAGACACCGGAGCCACGTATCACTGGAATACATTTACCTGCAATCAAATAAATAAATCCAATTAATTTCTTATAATTGGTTAGTGTAATTTAATTGTAAGCTTTGCACTTACCGTACATAAAAAAATTCGAATGGTATTTATTGGTGAAGCA